GAAAATGAAGCATTTTATGGAACTAGTTTTCATCCAGAAAGTGCTACAGAGACAGGCAGGCGTTTCTGTATTTTATTGACTAGTATCTTGCCCAGAAATCAGTACGCATGTTAGGTTCAATCTCTCATTTTGTCTAATTCAGAATATTCAGAGATGAAAAGCTCTACTCTGAATCAGAGAAGGACTTGAACCTATACCCCATACTAGTCCCTTCACTGGTGAGGATTTAGCACTTGTATCTCATGCCAAATTGCAACATTTGAACAGAAATTCTGTTTAAGCATAAACATTGAAAAAGTGTTAGTCTTCATTCCAGTGTGGAATTCAAACCAAACTGAAACCTCAGAATTGCTACAAAACGGAGTTGTCCTCCAGTCGTCTCAAAGGGCTGCTTTGTGACTTGGGAGCTTGCAAAATAAACTAGATCACAGTCCTGAGTCTGGGACCATGTTTTGTGACCTTTTGCTTCTGGAGATTTTTAAGACACTGGACAAGCTTGCAACACATCAATGTTGACACATTTAACTTGGGTTCTGCTAATATCAACTATGTTTTTGTCCTGCTGTGTGGCTTTGACTAGCAGTTGAATAGGCAGCAACTTCAGAAACTCACAGGAGCAGCAGACAGCACAGAAGTAGTTCTGTCGGTGCTGGCTGGGCACTCTGCTGCCCTGCTCATTCAAGTCTGTGTCCTCATTTCATGCCATTGTTTTATTTCTTGTTTCCAAAGTTCAGTGACACTAAAGTTCAATCAAAGGCACCCAATCCATCCTAAAGAATTTGCAGGCTCTTGTGCTTTGAAGCTTCCGGACTGAACAGGGGCAGTACAGTGTTTCCATTTTCCTTGGCACCTGAGCCCTATTCCCTCAAGGCTTAGGTAGTGTTAAGGGTTGTGCAGATGGCTTGTGCGTAGTTTAAACCGCATACAGGAAGCTTTCTTTTAGCTCAACTTCTCTATTGTTATGCTATATTAATAGGCTCTTTTGAAGCTTAAGAAAGGACTGATCCACCTAAATAATAGTTCTGGGTGGGGAAACTTATTCTGGAGCATGTTTGCAAAACATGAAAGGCTCTTTCATTTAACCATTTCCTTGCTTGCGTGTGCAGCCAGATTTTGCTCATTCTGGTGCTCAGAAAGAAGCAGCTGCACTCCCATTTTTTAAATTACGAGGTTTGAGTCATAGGTATTTATTAATAAGCAAATGAACATATTTGTTCTTAGATTCTTGTAATCAAGCCAGAAAATGTTGGTTAGCCACTATGCAAACATACAGCTATGCTCTGAATTTTGATCCTGTCCTGGTTTTGTACACAGATTCAACAGAAAACTACCCCATCCTTAGCTTGTACTGGAATGACTGATTTGGTTCTTAGCTCTTTAATTCTTCTGGCAGGCAGCTCAGTGCCCTCCTAAGCCCAGAGTTCATCCTTGTTGGTCCTAACACTCATTTAATTCTTGTGGCAGGCAGCTCAGTGCCCTCCTAAGACCAGAGATCATCCTTGTTGGTCCTAACACTCATTTCCCCCTGATGGCTGCTCATTCTTGCAATTCCCAAACCTTGAGTGGGACTTGTCTATTGTCTTAAAAACTGAAAACTAGCACAGCCTTCGTCCCTGCTGCTTTAGGTGGGGATATGCAGCTGCATGCTTTTCACGCTCTGCTTCCTCCAAAGGACCGTGCCAAAGCGGATGTGTCACTTTGCAGCAGGGGTGCAGGATGATACAGTGCTCAGGGGAAGTGGCCAAACTGCTCAGCTTCTGCTATGATTAATTTTTTTTTCATTCTTTTTCAAGTAACATTTGCAACATCAACAGTTTATCCCTTCCACCCAGAAATTCCCCTGTACCACGAGCAGAACTTTCTCTTGTGCAAAAAGAGGAAGAGCTGAAGGGGCTGTGAAGTCTGCTGAAAAGTTCTCAACTGTAGGCAAAAATAATACAGCCTCTTCTAGGGCATTGTAGGAATGATCAGAGATCCTCACACAGTGGAGAGTGGGAGCATTGGGTGAGTTTCTTCTTGTTAGAGCTGAACATGCACCCAGCTACCTCCAATTGCTTGGACTAATGGGGAGAAATTTGAAAGAGAACTAATACATCCTTGGGGTTTTGTCACTCGTATAGAAAGACATTAGTATTTCAAATATCTGGTCTACATATTGCAGTGTATTGCAGCAGTCAAAGAAAAAGGAGCTTATAAGGTCTTAAAGAGACATGTTCGTCTTTGTGAAAGAGTACACCAAGTAGTATACCATGAGGCCACCAAGATGATTAAAGGGATGGAGCACCTCTCCTAAGACAAAAGGCTGTGCATCCTGGAAAAGACATGGCTTAGGGGTAACCTAATTCCAGCCTTCCAGTACCTGAAGGGAGCCTACAAGAAATATGGATGGGGACTAGTTACAACAGCATGTACTGATAGGACAAGGGGGAATGACTGAAAGAGAGTAGGTTTAGATTAGATATCAGGAAAAATTCTTTACTGTGAGGTTGGCGAGACACTGGAAGAGGTTGCCCAGGGAAGTTGTAGAAGCCCCATCCCTGGGAGGTGTTAAAGGCCAGACCGGATAGAGCTCTGAGTAACATATCTAGTGAAAGGTATCCCTGTCCATGGCAGAGGGGGTTGGAACTAGATAATTTTTCAGGTCACTTCCAACCCAAACCATTCTATGATTCTATGATATAGTCCAAACTTAATAATGCTTTTCTCTGGTCAAGAAAAAAAACCCAACCAAAAAAAAACCCAACCAAAGTCAACCAAATAGAGCCCCGATGTTCATTAAAGTTATTTTTTTCTGATTGTTAACAGATCATGGTTTTGTCATGCAGTTGTGCAGCCAAACTCCAAAATAGACATCCTACAATGCAATCAGTTCTCCTCCACTGGGGTATTTTCCAAGTTCTTTATAAAGCAGATTTTCTGAAAGCAAAGAATGCACACGGAAATAAGCAATGCAAATCAGTTTACTGACAGTGACATTAGACTTTCTAAATATATTCCTCCCATAAGGGCTATTAAAAAAACGGGATTTTTTTTCCACTCTTCAACACGTTGAAAAGCTGAAGGGATGCCTGTAATATGTTATGAACGTTTTAGGTCTTGGGGTTTTTTAATTTTAAATTTAATAATTTTAAAAGGTACTAAGATTTTATTGCCAGGAGAAATCACTGGAGGATAAGGGTTTGTGATTTGCATAGGTCTGGGAGGAGGGATTGACTTTTGCATAAAAGAAGGAAATACATTCTTTTTAGGCACTGCTAGCAGGTGCCATTAACCCATACTAGCTGGGAATGCCTCCTCTTCCTTGCAACCCTATAAGAGAGGCTAGGATTTAATTGCTCGCTCTACATCTGGTTGGTGAACCTTTCAAACAGAGGAAGCACATCCTGGTTCAGGATTCAGGCCTTTTTCCAGATAGAAAAGAATATACTCTTCAGATGTCCCATCACCTGCTGTTGAACAGCTGATGGCCCCTCTGCTTGCAAGCTGGGTTTACAAAGGGAAAAGTGATTACAAGTGAAATTGGAGGGTCAGAGGCACTGCTTGTTCTACTTGTAAGCTTCTTCCCCCCATTCTTTTTAGCGTTGCTCACCTTTGTTTTGAGAGGCACGGAGTAGGGGAAATGGAGGCTTGTGGCTAATATAGTTAGTGACAGCTTCTCTTCAGAGCTTACTAAACTTTTCCTTTCTGTATTGACTTATTTGGCCTGATGCACGTAACCTGAGTCAGTGACATGGCTGTAAGCATCCACCAGGAATTGTGCTGCCAACACAAGCTACTTGCTTAACTGTGGTTGCAGTTCAGTTGTTTTAGGCTGTTCAGGTTAGACTCCAAGGACTTCTTCAAATCAATCCCCTCCCTCATGGAAATATAATATAATATGTTTTCTCTGACTCAAAGGAAGAAATAGACTGAGAGAGTAAATTTCCATGTATTTGATCAAATCAGATTCAGATAAACTCTGACCCTCCTTCTTTAATCTATTTTTGGAATAAAACTGTTCCCTTTTAAACTGTTTATCTTCCCTAAGAAATACTGAAATAGAAGGTCATTTTTAGAGGTGACAGGGCAGCTCTCACCTCTAGAATAATGGTCCATACTTTTCCCAGAACATGTCTGTATTCTAGATTAGGTCCCTGTTGTTCTTCTATTCCCTATATGTTCCACCTAAGAATGTGTTAGTGTGTGCACTGTACCAGGTATGAAGTTTGAAATGAACCATCTACTGCTTTACAACAGGACAGCCAGTGTACAGCCAGCAAGTAACACAAGGAGGAAGTTTTCAGATATATAAATCCATGCAAAAGTACATGGGAGGGAGGGTGTGGTAGTGACAATTCTGAGACACCTGTGTACATGCAGATATTTGAATTTGTTCTAGATTTCACATGCATCAAAATATGAGAATGAGTTTTGTTTTTCAGATCTGTATGCAGGCATACATATTGTGCCTGAATATTGTCACACAGTAGTTGTGTGTGAACAGGCTTCCTGAAAATGGCTTTACATAAATCTACTAAAATACACTGGATCTGGAGTGATAACTGGGCAAGCAGAAGTTCACAGGCTGCATTGTCTATTTATTTATCTTAGAAGAATTAATGTGTTCTAGTGATTACTGGTTAAAAGGATAGATCTGTCAAAAATACATTGACAGAGTAAGTGAAAGAGACTTTGGTTATTGTATTCAGGAAAGTGAAGGTTTCATCCATAATATATTGAAAGCCTGAGAGAGGAACAAAGCTATTAAACTGTATTAGGTTCTTGCTTGTTCAGTTCTGGTTTTTTATAAAATAAGCAGACAGGGAAGTCAGGGCAAGTAGAGGCCTATATAATAAACAACATTTTGAAGCAAGAAAGCAGTGACAATTTGTATTATTTACTGTTAGTGGAGGAGATAATCTATTGCATTCTGGATAAAAATTATAATCATTGACAGCCTCTTATGTATATAAAGCTATGATGTAATTTAATCTATGCCTTTCTTCTGTTCTTCTTTACAGATGACCCTCAAAAGCCAGAGAAAGATGAAATTTCCAAAGTCACAATCATAAGTCTTGTCCCATTACTGGTGATTTCTGTTGCTGTGATTGTTATCTTTTACGCTTACCGCACTCATAAGAAGAGGAAGCTCAACAAGGCATGGGAGAAGAATGTTAAGCCCAGGAAACATAAGGACTGCAGTGATGTTTGTGCCATTATGTTAGATGATGACCGCTCAGACATCAGCTCTACCTGTGCCAACAACATCAACCACAACACAGAGTTGCTGCCCATTGAGTTGGACATTGTTGTTGGCAAAGGAAGGTTTGCTGAAGTGTATAAAGCCAAATTGAAGCAAAACACATCAGAACAGTATGAAACTGTGGCAGTCAAGATTTTCCCCTATGAAGAATATGCCTCCTGGAAAACTGAGAAAGACATTTTTTCAGATGTAAACCTCAAGCACGAGAACATCCTCCAGTTCTTGACAGCAGAGGAGCGTAAGACAGATCTTGGTAAACAGTATTGGTTGATCACTGCCTTCCATGCTAAAGGAAACTTGCAGGAATACCTCACACGGCACATTATCAGCTGGGAGGACCTCTGGAAACTGGGTGGGTCTTTGGCCAGAGGGATTGCCCATCTGCATAGTGACCACACACCCTGTGGTCGTCCCAAAACACCTATTGTGCACAGAGACCTAAAGAGTTCCAACATCCTGGTGAAAAATGATTTAACCTGCTGTCTCTGTGACTTTGGGTTATCCCTGAGGCTGGACCCTTCTCTGTCTGTGGATGACTTGGCTAACAGTGGGCAGGTAAGTTAGAAATTTGTAGGGCTGGGAGGGTGTTGTACCAGTTTTTATGTTAGTTCCTGGACTGCAAAGATGAGAAAACCTTAAGCTGCTATGGCAGCTTTTATTTAAAATCATTAAAAATCAATATAATTTTATTTATAAACAAAGAGGTTCTAAATATTAAAGCAACAGTGAGAGAAGTGCGATGTAGGTTTTGTTATGGTTGGAGAGCTGCATATGTATACAGTGCAACCATCCTCTCACTTATACTAAACATGTATGAGCTTGTTAGCAACTGTTCAGGGTGCTGCTGCAGTGCACACACACAGACATAATAATGATCTGCTCCACACTGTGAGTTTTCATGCCTAATGGCATTGCACTTTTGTGTGCATAGACCCAGTCCTGGTGTACCCCAGTATATGTGAAGTCAGTCTTCTGTCCTCAAGAGGTATAAGCAGATAAGTACTCATAGATGATAATTTTAAAAGTCAAAAAAAGAAACCTCTTTAATATTATGGAACGTTCTCCACATGCAAACAAATACAAGAATGTCAAATAAAAATAATTGCCCTGTTGTGATTTGATGTCCTTGGGCACTGGTGTTGAGGCCCACTGTTCTGTTTTGCTTAGCTTTAGTGGATCTGTTTGGGTGTGACCCAGCTAGCATCATTCTTCTCTGTGACCCTTAAGGACTATGATGTTGTGAAGTGACTCCAGCCTCCACCTTGTTTCTTCTGGGCACACAAGAATCACCCACTTAAATTCCCCAACTTGCCAGCTTTAGTGCTGTAAAGGGGTCTTGAACCAGGATTTGCCTTATGCATAATTTCTAAAATTTACCCTTTGACTCAAACCCTTCCCACCAGGAGGTCCAATTTTATAACATATATAATGGAGCTGACCCAAATTTTAATTCAGGAAAACCTCTAGCTTTCTGTGAACTAAGTAAGAGTGTAAGTATTTTACCATTTTTCTGCTCATCCTTATTCAGTAATATTGAAGGCAAGTTGTTGGGGTTACAAAGCCACCTTCTTTCTAGCCTACCCAACTACCTTTCATACCATGCAAATATAGCCATTATTGACTAGTGCCCTTAGTGAAAGGCCTTAGGCTGGAAACCACCTTTTTCCCCATTAGAACCTTTGCAGTCTTTCGAGTTTGGCCATCCATGAGGGTTAATATTTACAGACGTTACTTAATATGATCATATAAATCTGGACCTTTGTCCCCCTATGTTCAAAGGACTGGTAGGTGCTTGCAAGGCCAGCAGTTCTGCACCTCAGCAGTATCAGCACCCTTGTAACAGATGGATAAAGAGGGATATCTACCACCCCTCTGACTGGCACACCTCAGGGCACAAAGCATCTCTTAACAACTTGAAAGAGATGTAAGGTCTTCAGTAAAAGAGATTCAGAAGTCACAAAAAATGATAATGTACTGCAGGGAGAGAGATGGTCCCTCACTAGAAGTTTTTGAGACTCAAGAACTGAAAGCAGACTGGTAGTTGCAAAGAAAACGTGTATCTAGACCCTAGAGAGACAACCAGGTCTGAATTAGCAGAGTTAGGTGCCTAAAATGCCTTTGAGCCTCAGAAGTCACATTTTCGCGAGATACAGGAAAAAGTATCTTTCACCCAAAGACCTAATAATCTAAATGCAGATAAAAGGACATAAGCAGAGTGGATCACATGATAAATCCTAAGCAGGATGGAAATGAGATTGGCTTGACAGCATTCTTCAAGTCATGTTAATTTTTGTCTGCCTTTTCTTCTGTACATCTTAGTTATAGGGCTTCATCTTCCATTGTCCAGCAAAGCTGCAGAATCATTTTTATTGCTTCAAAGAGGGTGTGAAATGCCAGATCAGAACAGCACTTCATGGCAATGTAAAGAATCTGTATCTAGGCATGATTGTTAAAATCATCAGGGTTTGGGAGGGGTGGGACTGTGGGCCATGTGTACAGGTAATCTTTCTTAGGCTTTGGATGGGATCTGCTTGGAGAAGAGTTATGTGGCGGAGAGCAAGTGCTGGGTACAGAACAACCTCTGCTTCAGAGTTTCATATATACGTGTTTATGTAGAGAAGGGAGTTGCTGCTCACCTCAGTGGTGCTGAGACATGACTGTCCCAAGTACCTGTTCAACATATGGCTGCTTCTCACATGCTTGGCCTTAAATTCATCAGAGTCTATCTAATAGGGAATTTAGCTTTGGGACTGATCACACAGGACTTTTTTCCTGTCCTCTGTTCATAAAGGCTTTGATCCTACAACTATTTGGATATTTTTGACAAATTCTCTGCTGTTGCAGGGTCTTATAACAAAGCTACGTCCTTGATCTTTCCTTCTGGCTACTTACAATGCTTTGCACTTTTTGTGGAACATCTTCCCATTTTGCCCTGAGCCTGAGATGATAAGACATGTTTACGAAAGCTTGTAAAATGGATGTCACAGGGCTCTCTCAGGACTCCACATTTACTATGTGGCTGTCTGCAATTGCAGACCCAGTAACTGTAATGATCTTTTGCAGCCCTGCTTGCCTCTGGGCTCTGGAGTGACTGCTGTAGTGTAAACAGCTCATTTAAATCACAGGCACTACTGCATCACCCACTTGTGCTTGTTCATCTCTGTGATTAACCAATCTCCAACTTGAAGCTGTCTTTGTCTGATGAAAGACTTACGTTTGCAGTTTTTCAAGGGGGATAAATTTTTTATATCTACCCTGTGAAGAGTTTGTCATTTAGCAGCAACTGTTGAGTGATCCAAAAATTCTTCCTTAAATTCTTTCTTGTGATAAAAACAGACATTTAAACTTCGCCTTCTGTAATACAAAATCATAATCTAGTTCTCAGCAAAGCTGCTAGAATCATTTCTGAAAATTACTCTCTATAAGTAAAGTTTATGAGAATGTCTTTTCAAACAAAGCGGCAGATTTTTGGTTTCGATTCAAATGTGTGCTTCTGCATTCAGTATTTGTGTGTTTGCTTTCTTCTCCCAGGCCTGCATTTACAGCTACCACTGCAGTGCAAAACAATGAAATGTGTTTCTTGCTCATCTGAAAGACACTTGGTCAACAACAACAATAGGCCCAGGCAGAGTTTATCTGTGAATAGCCAAGGAGTGAGAATACTTGTCAGTGTCAAAATTATTTGTTTAAGGAACTAAGAAGGCCTTCTTTCTTTTTCATTTACCAAGAGAGGTGCAAGTAAGTTGGTAGTCAGGACAATGCCAGATTCCCCTGGCAGCAGAAAATACAGCCTGTGCCAAAGTATGGCCTGAATTTTTGGATACATGTCAAATGGCACTGTTTCTGTGAAAGCTGAAGTTAGATCACAGCGGAATCCAAAACATGAATTACAATTTCAGCTCATGAGCTCTCCCTGATCTCCTATAGGTTGGCACAGCAAGGTACATGGCCCCTGAGGTTTTGGAGTCCAGGATGAACCTGGAAAACATGGAGTCCTTCAAACAAACAGATGTGTACTCCATGGCTTTGGTCCTCTGGGAAATGACATCTCGCTGTAATGCTGTCGGAGGTAAGTGCCATCTGTTTTCTTCTCTCTAAAAGTGTGATGAGACAGACATGTTCTCATGGTTGTCTGGGGAGAGGGTGATTCTTTTTTTTAGTGTATCTGGATGCTGTAAATTATCAATCCTTTGGTAGTATGAGCATGTGCATGAGCAGGCTTGAAGGCCAAGCACCTGAGCTCACGAGAAAATTGGTCCTCAATTGGTGTAAGGATAAATCTGCTGTTAGGTGGATCACTTTAAAAGGTTATTAAAGTCTGGTTTTCCTATATCATCTTGAGTGGCTATGGATTGACTCAGTCTGGTTGATCTCACCTGGAATGATTGGAAACATAAGACAGTTTGAAATATTAAACCCAAGAAGTGACAACTGCCACCCATTTACTTTCATGGAATGTTAATTCTCAAACCTAATCAGGGCCAGTTAAGTGTCACATTTACTAATTGATAATTTCAGTAAGAGCCATCATAGTGATACAGAAGCTTTCCTGCTTTCCCAAAATCACCAGCTGCTGCACAACAAGTTTTGTGATGTCACAAGAGATCATCCCTATGAAAAAAATCAAAGGATGTTTGTTGTATAAAGTATAGGAACAAAATAAAAATGATTGGAACTGACTATCAGAACAGCTCCAGGAAAAGCTGCTACACTTGTTTATATTCAGAGTTTGTTCACTGAAACAAAATCTCCATTTCTGTTTTGCCTAAAGCTGCCCCAGAATTCCCAGTGTGCAACACTGGTATGTGCTAGAAATCAGAAAAGTTGCTGTTGAGATATCTGCATTACATATAGCCAACTTTGAAGATTTTCACCTTACTTCAGAAACGAAAATGTGACTTAAGTTGCATATAAAATTCCTCAGCCTGTTGGAATTGTGTAACATTCATTCTTAAAAAAATGCTGCGCATTCCAGGGCTCACACAGGCAGTCTAAAGAGTGGGGCTGTAAAAGGTAACACTAATGTGGATATTATAGTAGATACGCAACTGCGATTTAATTTGTTATCCTTCTTCCAAAACCACAGAGGCTCCCTTTTCATTGGCCTTGGCATGGTTCCACCTTGAAGGGCTGCCACAGACACAGACAGGACAGTCTTGCAGGCTAGAGCACTGTGCTATGAGGAACATAGTGTACGAAAGGAAACCAATGTCCCAAGGGAAGATGTGCATAGCTGCTCCTTGTTTCTCTACCATCATCTGTGGGATACCACAAGGGAGGTTTCTGAGGCCACTTTGCACGGTGACTGTGTGGCTGCACCATGGTGTCCATGTGCAGGAGTGGGGAATGCCTCCACCTCAGGCTCCTACTATGTCTGACCAGCACTTGGTCTTGCTGGGTGGGCTGTGTTGTGGGCAACAGATTTGCCCCTGTTTGCACCCTGCCAGGAAAGCTACAAAGTGAGTATGTGTGCAGAAAGTGCTAGTATAAAAGCATGACAAAAAAAAAAATCTTTTCTAGTCAAACATTTCAGGGAAAAAACATTTTGTGCTTCAGGAACTGAACCTCAGTCTGACATATTCCAAGGCAAACCTATCCATATTTAGCAGTCATGGTCATGCCTGTTTCTAAGTGCATTGGCACAACCTCAGCCTTTCATTAGCACTTTGTAAATGTGGCTGAGGAGATTTAAAACCTGAGAAAAAGGAACTTTGCCCTGTCTCTTGAGCTCTCTCTGTTTCTCGCATTTAGGAGCTCACCTTATTAATATAAATATGAGCTGTTCACTGTGGAGTCTTTTATCTTTGATGATGCCTGAGTCCCTTCCTGTTCATATTTGCTGAGTACAGTGAAACCTTATTGCTGCTGTTCTCAGAAGGCAACTGCCTAAAAGAGGATATAAAAGGAGTTTCATAAGGAAGGAAAATCACCAGCCTGTTTAGCTAGAAGAGATTGACCCGTTGTAACCTTGACAAAAAGAGCTGAAGTCATTTCAGGAACAAGAAATATTTCTCTGTCCCAGCATCCCCTTTGCTTTCAAGATGGTGCTTAATCCCCACCTACATTCTGATTTTCACTATTAATTTCATCCCTCAGTCATTCTCATCTCCAGAAACACATTCCTTGAATTTCATTTCCCTATTTCAGTCATATTTCCAGAGGTGAGGTCCCCAGCAAAACCACAGGAGTACTTGGGCACATCTGTAGAGGGTGGAACTTAGGCTTTGCACCTCCATCCAGAGCAGTTAAATACAACTCTCAGGATGTAGCTTCCTTAACTTGTCACTGGTACTGAGCTGCAACAGCATTGCACCATTGCTCTCGTTTCCTTCCTAGATTTTCCCCTGGTTCACGCAGTCTGGATATCTTTGCAGCCAGCTGGTAAAATACCCTTACAGTGATTCATGACTACAGCTCCCCCTCTACTTTCTCTCTCCATCTGTCACTTGTGACACTCCCTCCTCGCCTCGCAGCCTTCCCGAGGAGCTGCCTCCGCTCACGCAAACCCCTCTATTATTCCTAAACTTGTTAGGCACTGAGAGAAATGACTTTGTGTATAAGCTGGAGTAGGCTGACCTGACTACAGACAGCCTTTGCAAAGGAGCCTGAAAGATACAGGCACTGTCTTTGCAGGACAGGCTTGGCTGTGGTGTCAGCTCAGGGCAGTTGAGAGTGGAGTGCCAGTCTAAGCCAAGGCAGCAGCGTTAGCAACTTTAGTTAGGGAGAGAAGCATGCAAGGAAGGGTGGCTAATTGCCATTCAGCCGTGTAAAGGTACAGACTTATTTCTTTTATGAAGGGAGCTCTCAGGATTCATTTGTCAGTGTGCAGGTGTTCAGTGAGTGTGGGAGGTGATGGAGGCAGGTCCTTCATTACAGAAGCTTTGTCAGACACAGTCTCCACACTATGCCAGGCCTTTTCAGTCAGCAGACATTTAAACAAAAATACCCAGCAGCATAACCCATACTGCGAAGCTGCTGCAGTAAATAAGCAGGCTTTTGAGAAAGGCCGTGCTGTTTATTGTTACTTTGTTGTACTAAATATGGAGAAGCAGAAATGGGGCACGAGGGAAAGGGAGACAGAGGGAAAGATCAAGTTTGACTGATTTTTCACCAGAGTATAATTTAAGAGGCATATTTAGAAACTCAGCAATACTACTTTGGGGAGAACTTCAACTGCTCCATGCTGCTGTTAACTTGGTATTTCATTCAGCACAACAGCTGTGCACCAGATGCTGCACATTGCAAGAAATATAATTTTCATCTCAACCACTTGCTTTCAGAGCGACACAGCTTTGGTGACTGAGGCAAGTGTAATTTCTCTGACAGCCTCCTAGAAAGAAAAGACAACCATCTGTTTTGTATCACAACTGCTATGGGTGAAGGACTGTTGGGGTTGGCAAGGGAGAAGGAGAGGAAAAGGGAATTTTTGGATACACTGGACTGGTGAAGAGGGAGAAGAGAAACCCCTCAGAAAAATGTTGCTTGTGCAGTAACATACTGCCTGGAGTGGTGGCTGGCGTCGGTATAGCAGCAGTGCTTTGTTTGAAATGACAGCTTTGCTTTACCAGAGCTGTGTTTCATGTGAATAAAATGAGGATTAATCTTACAGTTACTTGGAAAGAGTCAGCCAAGAGCCACAGTTTGGTCACTAAGCATTTGTGCATCCTGTACCTCACGAAATGTTCAGCTTTCATCATACCGACATGGAGAGGTGACATTTCTGGTGGCAGGGAGCAATTAGATAGCCTGTACATTGGGGCTGTGCCTGTGCAGTGTACCCTGAGGTGGCTGCAGCTGGGACCTGATTTAAATTTTTCCTTCTGTGGAACGGAGCCCAGTTAGGGCATATCTGCACTGCGCTGGCTTGCGGCGGCATATGACCCCAGCTGGTTAATCCACACAGTGCATCATCACCCCATGACAGTCACCCATGTCTTAGAAATTCTCTTAAGTGTCACTACAATACTACATGTAAGGTAGCAAGTGCTGCCCTTCAACATGCCCAGGTAGCAGTAGGTAAGGTTACTGCACTACATGCCATGTTGAGCACTGATATTATCTGTGTTCCACTCCTTTCCCACCTCAGGATTCAGCGCAGTGATTAAGCAGCTGTAACCCTACACTGATGGCAGAGCTTGTGCACTCCCAAACCTATATAAGTGGCTGTGTCTTTGATCATCAGATATGAAGTCACTTAAAAGATATCTGTGGGAGGGAAGCTGCACACTGAAACACCCATCCCAATGCATCCTCACCGTTCCTGTCTGTGTTCTGAAGGAGTGGAACAGGGAAACCTAGGGAAATTTGAGAAGTAAGCTATTTGACAGCTCCTTAAACTTGGCCCTGAAACAGCCTTTTTGAGCCTCTGCTTTATGCATTATTATCCCTTTGTGCAACAGCTAGTAGATCCACCACGCATGGTGAGGAACGACAGTATCTGCAGGGCACAACCTGTGTGTGTGTGAGCTGTCACAGTACCTCCACCATTGATTGATTTATTTCTTCTGTGGCTCTCCCCTCATAAACTCTAAAGGGAGGGGCATTTCAAAGGGACATAAAAGTTCCTAAACACAAGCTCTCTGCTGTGGACTGTGCCTCACTGTTGATTTTTCCTGGCCTTTGACCTCACAACTGCTTTGATTCTACAAATAAATTTTCATCATCCAGTATGAGAAGTTGTCCCTCAGAAATCAGTAAGACAGATCACATGAGAGAGCATCACATGCTCTTCTGACCCAAAGAAAGAGAACTTCAGTGCAAAAAGCTTAGAGTAGAAAAAGACCATGAGCGAGGTGTATTTTTCAGCCAAATTCTCCAAGCGCTCATCATGCACAGCAGATAGATTTTCAGTAACATCTCTGTTTGGGGCTAAAAATTCAGTCCCAGCCTTTCTGAGAGTTATGGCCAGGCCAGAGGAAAATAGAGGTACAGCAATTATTAGAGCAAGGCAGCTCCCAGCCATAAAGATTAAATGCTCTAGGTTAAAGTTGAAGGAACTCTGCCATTAGTGAACACTGAAGGTGCTGTAGTTCATGGTAGCTGATGTATTTATGGTACTTCAGCCAGTTGTCATTTTTAGTGCCCAACTGGTCTAAAACCAATCCAAAGAAACATATAAGGCATGAAAAATAGAATCAGTATCTGTATACAACCGTGCACAGGCAGCTAGGCGCAAACATCTTAACCTACCTCAAATTGACATCTGTTACATCTACTGTAGCACGTAAACATGATCCACTAATAACCCCAGCTATTACTGCAAAACGTGTCTGACACCTGAGATTCCACAGCATAAGGATGATTTACTGCTTGAGGATTTAGTGGGCTTTTCTTTCTTTCCAAGGGAAAAAAAAAAAGATGATGCTGCATGCTTTTCAAACTGAGGAAAGGCATGACTGCATTAGCAGAAAGTTATTACAGTGAATTGGCATCTGGCCTCAATTTCTTTCTTGACCATAAAACAAATCAACAACAAAACAAAGAACCCAAATGTGAAAAACCTATTCAATCTTTATATTTGGAAGAGAAATGCTCATAACATAGGAACAATTTCTCAAACAGGGAAAATGTGTTATGAACAAATCAATTCCCAAGAAAGGCTTTCCTTTCCCCCACTTGAACTATCTCATGAACCTGAGTGACCTTCAGATTAGTCAGTGAGCGGGAACAGGTCAGCTCCACAGCACCAGCTTCTGTCTGTTGGACATTCAGACTGCTCTGACTTCTTATATTGCAGGTTCTGAGAGGCTTGGCTGGTATCTATGACCGCTACCACAATTGAGCCATGACTGATGGAGATGGTGTAGGAAATGGTTGTCTAGGTTGTGCTATTTAAATTTTCCCAGCAAACTTTAATACTTTGACGAGCCTTAAAAGTGGAGGTATCTGCACTGTAATCATTGTGCATCCGCTGCATAGTAACCCAGGTCGGACCAGCAAGATGGCAAATTCCCAATTCACTTCTAGGGCTAAAGTCTTGTAAATTTACTTTGGCTGAGTAATCTCTAACTCAGATTAATATGTGTGAAACTGGTATGCCTTCTTGTAGAGGAAAGAAAGCAAAGCAGACTTTGGTCCTTGAGGTTTAAAGAAAGTGATTTACATATGAGAAGACAGTTGTGTTTCGGGACTATAGCCACTCTGCCGAGCATTGTGTGGACAGTGGCCAGCATCAGATGATTAGGGAGAAGGAAGGAGAGCTCTGCTGGAGGCATCCATGGGGTGTTCTGCTGCACTGTGCACACAGTTGTTCGCAGCTGAATCTCTAAATGCTGAACACGTGAAACACAAGGTTTAATATCCCTTCCAAAATGTTTGTTATCAGAACTTGACTATTCTTTTAAGCATTAGAAATTCTTTTTTTAAAGCCTGATAAAGTCTTTATCTCATGGCCATCATGTAGAATTGAGATCTACAGCCTAACTCTTAAGGTTTTGGAGAAAAGTCCAGAGTTAGTTATCCTCAGTACTACCTTGTTTTTATCATGAGATGTGGCAGAGTGAGCTGACCTATGTTATCTTGATCATTAGTTATTTTCAGTAGTTTTATTATATGACCCCTTCCTTACCTTTCTCTCCAAAGTAAACGAAGCCAAGCTTTAGAGGTGCTTCCCATTTCTTCTGGGCCTTTAATTTTTGTCAGCCTTCTCAGAGCTTCCTTTTACTTCTTGGGAGGAGTAAGCAGCACTGGACACTGCAGTTGAACTTTGGTTGTGACATTATGCAAGAGTACTGTGTCTCCCAGCTCATTCATCTCTCTTCACTCATCATCTGGGCACTTGCATGCATTCTACAGACTGCTTTGTAGATTGCACTTCAGTTTTTCTTGCCCTCAATTAATTCCTAGAAAGAAGTAAGAGGCAGCAGAACAGACCAACTTCATAAATCTTTATCTAATACCAGCAAGTCATTAGGCCTGTGAGTAAAGTCTCCATCTGTTCCCAAAGAAACCACAGCATTTTCTACACTGTGTCAGCATCTACTATAATATTTCCGCTCTCAGAGATTTCTTGAGTTTTCTCCAAAGGTCCCATATGTCTGCTTCTTTCTTTCTCTCTCCAAAGAAAAACAAAGAAAATATGTAACAGGCAAACAAAAACCAGAATGGCAGCAGCCCCTTCAGGAAGCTGTGCCCCCTGCACCACAGGCCAAAACTGACCCATTTTGGGAAACAGGCCTAAAATAAGAGCAGACTACTACTTTTTATAGAGGAATGCAGCTCAGTAATAAACAAGGGCAGTATGGCAGCTTCCAGCATTGCTTGTTACTGTCCTTTTCAAGCAACTGTTTCCTCCTAGCAATCTGCACATTAACATCTATCATGACCTAGATAGATTTCAGTTTATATTTCAACTGATGAGTGTTTGTGGACACCAGGAGACCTAAGGGTGACCAGTTCTTGCAAGCCTGGTTCAAGCAAAACTCACCTTAAAGCTCCTGTGCATTTCACCTCAGCAGAAATTGAAAGGCTTACGGGTTATAGGTTACTCTGCTGCTTGTACTGTTGCTAATATGATTATGTACTAAAGGGTTTAAATTAAAATAGTTTTGTTGGCTAAGAAAGAAAAAGGGAGGAAGGGGGTGTGTGGGAGAAGCACATTTGAAACATTTTTGAAAATGCCAACTGGCTTTGCTTTGTTTGGAACTGGTCAAGCAGAATAGTGGCACTGAGCAGCTAATCAGTAGCTCCAACTCCTCCAGAGAGCAGCCAGCTCCGTTCACGCTTGGCACCAGCACAGCCCAGCTGAATACCCTTGTGTTTGCTTATTTCTTGTCAGAAGTGAAAGAGTATGAGCCCCCATTCGGCTCCAAAGTGCGAGAACACCCTTGCGTGGAAAGCATGAAGGACAACGTCCTAAGAGACAGAGGGCGACCCGAGATCCCCAGCTCCTGGCTTAACCATCAGGTAAGACCACCACACGTGAGCAGCTTGGAGCTGTACTGTACATTTAGCTGCTGCTTGAAGTCTGAGCCTTAACTCAGTGCCCTGCCCATCAGGCTGAACCTCTCTTTTGCATGGAGCAGAGCTCTGTCACATAGTGACACTGGTGCTACTGTGGTTCAGACACCACAGTGCTCTGCACTGTACTTGCCTCAAAGCCCTGGGATTCATGCTGCCTACCAGTGTAATATAAAAGTGATTAAAAGAAACATTTGAAACCTGAGATCCAGCAATCATCCAGAGATCCACAGAATAATTAGGGCCTTAAAGCACACTATGTGTAGGCTCTGAAAGGCCAAATAGAACAACTTCACACATGAGCCCCTATCACAGGCAGAGTGGGAGCTTTAGACAGAATTCTTTAGAGAAGCCCTTCCATTGAGTCATGGGGTGCAGAAAGGACCCCCTTGCTTTCTAAACTCCTCAGAGAGGAGTCTAGGTGTGGCTGGATCCAATCTTAGTCCCAGATTTTGTCAGTGGTTTATGTCTAGAGGTTTATATAGGTGTAATTGAACCTTTATA